TCCAAGAAAATAGACACATGGAGTCCAGCTTCGCGCCAACTACAGAGAACGCATTGACATGGCGCACTTTCACCCAGGGGCCAACTCTCACGTTCCCACGATCTCTCCATTTTCACTTACCGCGCCCGCGGGGGGGTGGCCGCGCCCGCGGCCTTCACAAACCATTTCCCGCTCAGAAGGAGTTGAGGGGCATGCTCGTCTTTATAGAGTTTCAGGATCTTCTATAAATAGCAAGTTCATTTCATGTTCGTTTTCATCCAAACTTAGATGCAAACTTAGATCCGCTCAAGTTACTGCTTAGGCATATATTACTACTTTGTAAAGTGATAATCTTCTCACATCGGGAAGTTATTACACTTGAGTGTGCGAGTTTGTATTCAAGTTTGGAGCACTTTGGTTGAAGTTTATCATACCATCTTTTACATTTCCACGACTTGTATCAGATTCAAGCCTCCGATTGGAGCAAGGTTCTAATTTAATTGCTTTCATTTATTAAATGCTCTTACCATAGTCTACATGTTTTATAGACTCTAAATGCTCTTACCATAGTCTACACGTTTTATAGACTCTAAACGCTCTTACCATAGTCTACACGTTTATAGGCTCTAAATGCTCTTACCATAGTCTACACGTTTTATAGACTCTAAATGCTCTTACCATAGTCTACACATTTTATAGACTCTAAACGCTCTTACCATAGTCTACACGTTTTATAGACTTTAAACGCTCTTATCATAGTCTACATGTTTTATAGACTTTAAATGCTTACCATGTCTAGCTAAATTTATTAGGGTTAGAATGTAAGGATCGAATCATAACTATGTTCTGCATGCCATGCTAATAGAAATACCTTTGGGATGTTTTAGTTTTTAATACTGGTTTAAATGTGTTTAAAAGTTTATGGGTAAGATCGAAAGCCGTCCATACTTGAGATTAAGCCAGATTAGTTCTTGACCAAACGAAAAGAGCGAAAGCAGTTCGTTTGGTTAAGTAGGATTACTTGATATAATTTTAGAAAACGATTTTGAAACTATTTACGGACGCGTTTGTGGGATTAAAATCTGATTCTTGGTCAAAAGTCAAGGATCTCTTTAAGTTAAGTTTTCCAAATTAAAACACTTTTTCACTAAGTCAAAATAACTTGTTTCTTAAAAATAGGTTTACTTCTTTAACGCGTTAGGCACCCTTTATAAGTGACAATAAAGGAATTTAATTTAAAGAGTAAACTCGGTTCTTAGTATGTGAAAGCTACAAGTTCCTGTTAAACAGTTCTTTGCTATAAATGGAAAATATTACCCAAAAGTAAATACTATACATGCATGCTAGGACACTGTCTGATCTCGTGATTTACATTCGATCCCGTTTGTTTTATCTCTTTAACTTTATTCGCTTTTATTTCCTTGTACTAAACTCAATCCCTTACTGATCTGCCTTAGATAAACACCTTAACAATAAAGTCGATAGATTGACAATTGGTCTATGTGGTTCAATAATCTTATATATTACTTCGATAGGCTTATAATTTAGACTATACAGTAAAACCCTATCAATGCTTCAAGTCATTAGGTCATTTACTAGGTCAAAAGTCAATGATCAGTCATTCTCAATCAAAACCCTAATTTTGACAATTTTGCCCCTTTGGTGATCTGAGGGATTTTATTGAGGAATTATGATCAACCATTGATCAAATGATGAATATGACTTAAAAATGTTGATGTTGACCAAAAATCTTGAAGTTTGACTGTATGTTGACCACAACTGACTTTTTATCCAATATAGTTGATTTTCAGTCATTTGAGCAATTGACTGAGCAAATTTGTGACGTAAGACTTGAAACTTGGTATGGGAATTCTTAGAGAACTATGATGAATTATGAAATCCACTTGAGGCATTAGAAGTATAATTTTCCTTGAGAAAACTAAAACCCTAGTTGTGGACTCTTGCTTAGGAAGAGGTTTGACTAGTCAACTCTTGAGAATCCTTGAGTATTTGAGAATCTTAGAAGAAGGTCTTGAAGAAAATGGGAGGAAAAATTTTGGGGTACAATACTAAGATTTTTCTCCGTTGATGATGACATTGTCATTTCTAATTCACACAAGTGCGTGTTTCGTGGTATGTCTAAAGGCCCTTGTAAACTTATCTACATGATTCTTCTATATGTTTTAACTTTGTGATTCTATTCACGAGTTGGTATTTACCTCCATTCTTTTATCTGCAATCATATTCTAGAACTGTGCTATTTATTAATTTCTGTTATGATTAATTCTCTTTAAATATTTCTCTCTTTTGCAGTTTGATGACATTGAAAATCACGGTACTAAAATTATTATCTTCAATTTATGGCTCAATCACCAAGGGAGTTTCGAACTAGACTTTGATACCGATCCTGAGGTTGTATTTTCCGTATTATGGATTTTACAGTTTTTGACTTGCCATCTCATGTGAAATTCATTACTTATATGTAACTTCTGATAATTTGGATGCAGGATATCTGTATTGCAGGATATCCGTATTGCTGGAGATAATTTATACGACTCTAGCCAAGAAGAGAGTAAATGAGCAACATCTTGCTAACATGCTTCATTATTCTTTACGTGTATGCTTGATGTAGAAAACTATTCATAAATGCTGCATAAAGTTTGGATTTTCTAAAACTAATAACGTTCTCATGTTTGATAGGATTACTTGTCCATATTGTACTTGCAAGTGCCAGAAAGTTTTAGAATCATATTGCGAGGGCAAGCTGTAAAGCTTCGTAATATAGCAGATGATCTTAAAGATATTGAGTATATCGTGTATAGACCAAGAAGTGGTGGTTTTGAAGAGGTTTGTATCTTACTATTGATCTTTGTTTTCTATATTCATTGTGAAAAGTCATCTTGACTGTGTTATTATTATAGATATGAAATCATTTATGAACCCTTATTTGACAGCAAGGATTTTATTTTTTATCTACAAGAATGGGTGAAGCAAGGATTGAACCAAATGGTCATATGAATTGTTGTATATTCTAATGCATGGACAATTCAATGTTGATATTAGTAGTCAGTGTTTCAAATATTAATGACTAAGTGCTTACTATAATTTGATTTGGTCTTTTCTTTTTGGATTAATTGTGCAGGCATTAATTGTGACAACAATTGGATTTCTTAAGGATGCTCCTGAAGTCGGCATCCACAGCTTCAATATATATCACAAAAATCGGTTGATACTGGTAATTGTCGCTAAACAGAGACCATGGCATGAAAACGCTGATTAAATGAATGTTTACTCATTGAGTAGTAGTGTAAGATTAAGGAAAAAAACCTCAACTGAAACCATATAAAACGACTAATATATTTCTAGAATTTTGATTTTTGATAGGTTCTTTCAGGAGAAACGTAACTGATTTTATTGGTTCAAATAATCAATTGGCTTACATATTTACTAAATCTCTTAGAGGACCTCGAGTTGAATCTATTTGTAAGTTTGGTGCATATAACATGTGTGCTCCAGCTTGAGGAGGAGTGTTAGAATTAATTATGATTGTAGATATTCCAGTGATTGATAGTATTCCTAGACTAAACAACTTCTTAGATTAGTGCTTATTCATTAAACTTCAATGTATTTATTGTAACACTAGTATAAATACAAATAGTGTGATCTCCCTTAAGACACACAAAATTTACAAAATTCTATAGATAAAATATGAAGACATTGTTTGATCCATATAGTTGATCTTACCAAGTGGGACGAGATTATTGGTGTTTGTTGTTTAAAGGTAAAAAAGAATATGGTGGATAAGATACCTTTCATAAGTGAAGGATCGGAAAAAGAGAGAAGATAACCCTAAGTCAAGGTAGACTCTTATATAAATTTTGTGATCAGAATTTCCGTTGAGTTCAAGTGTGAACGATTAAGTTCCACATCGCCTATAAAGAGATATAGTGTTGAATTTATAAGAGAGATGACTCATATATCTAATATATACCTTATGATTTTTTAGTGGATATGTGACGGGGTCTCACTCTAATGTGATCATGGAGCATTGTTGCTCCCAGATTCCCCAACAGTTCCCAGGAAAAGAAAGGATACATGTCACTATAAAATTTTGTTTTGTGCAAAATAGCTTCATATTTTGTGGATTCATATTTAGTTGACAAGGAAAATATAAAGTGAGTTAGGAAAACATATATTATAATTATGTCTATAAAGAATAAGGGATATGGGAATGGGGAGGGTTGAATCTCCATCTCCTGTGGAAATTGGAACCATTTTATTGAAATAGAAATGACTTGTTTGCAAAATTGCATTTATTCAGCATCAGAACTGTAAATAACATTTCAAAACATTTAATATACTTGTTCACCTTCAATGCAGCATAAGTTTATCATGTGCGCATCTCTCTCCATAATATACCGCTAAGATTTGTCTTTGCAGCCATTTTGGTCGGATGTAAACTATACTGCCAATAGGGGAAGAGGAGTTGTTGGTAAGAAGCTACTGCAGATTACTTGACGATATTTTAGTTCAACTTTACATCTAAATCTTACAAATGTATTGGACTTCAAGAAGATGGTAACTCTTGTTTCAGGCATGTTACAAATTTAAAGATCAACAAACATATCCAATTAATGATTTGATTATCATGTTAGGATAAAGTGAAGACCACTTGTTTATTACTAGTACTGATTTTACTGCTATTCTAAGTTCCCACCTTAATTAGATGCAAATTCCAAGGTACCAACCCATTCTGGCATGTTTACATTAACCGACAACAATTATTTAATTTTTTTACTATACCATACGTGTAAAACTGTAGTATCCACGCGATTGGGTACTTTTTTTTTAAAGTTAAAAAACGCATTAATTACATTCAGATTATCAAAACCTCAAATTCGAAAATCTACCTCTCTCTAATGATATGACAACAAGGAGGACTCAATTTCCTTGCAGTTATTTCAATTCATTCTCGTCTAGCTTAGTGTATGTTCTCACTTATAGCATAGATACATCACAAAATGAATGATGGTTACTCCAAGATTGGTAGCACTACAAGCCAGAAATCAAGATCTATAGATTTTTCTCAAACACCTAAACCAATCAAGATTAGCAGCACTACTCTTGATGAAGGAGAGAAATTTGGAGCGATACTAGGTAGGAGCTCTTCAGTGTCTTCTTCATCTTATTCTGAATCTGGGTTTCAAGCAACAATGAAGAGAGTATTTTCAATAACAAGGTCTTCATCGGTTTCAGAAAGGTACAGTAGGATCCATGATCAGAACATGGTAATAGCATCAGATGATGCAACAAAGAAGAAAAACCTGAGGGGAGGCAAGATCCTTAAAGTCTGTAAGAGTTTGTTTGGATTTTACTAGTTAATAGTTCTCTAATAATTGTAATCTTGAATAATAATCAGATTTGAAGGTTAATTAATTAACTAACTCTTTCATTCCTCTTTCTATAAAAGTTGCTTATAATTATTATCACTGTACTTATTAAAAACAAAAACTAGATTTTATAATCACCTACTTTGGTTGAGTTCAAGTAGATACAGAATCTAGTAATAAATTTCGATGTACCGTGGAAAGGAGAACAGTACACTACCATCCAAACATGTCTCTTATGGAATCCAAAGAGGAAATTGGAATAATAATCACAAGTCAGAATAATGTTTTGCGTTTCGATTGGAGTCGCAACTGCAGTCATGCTGTTCATAGACATGCCGCACGTGTGTCTCTGTTGTAACCGATTAACAACCCTGAATTTTGCTTTTTCCTCGTATTTTAAAGATGTGTTTTAGATTTCAATCATTTTGTAACACTTATATAAATTGTCTTGGAAGGATCTTTATCTCAAGTTATCATTCACACCCTCAATTATCTCTCTCTCTTTCTAATTCTCTCCTCTCTCACTACCTCTTTTTCCACGTACTCCATAGTTCATCAATTGTGTGATTGTATATTTTACCATTTGACATCAAGAACATGGTTCTGATCCATAAACCTCTGTTGTGTAACATGAATTCTGTCTCCAATGATAGAGTTTCTACAAACTTATCAACCCTTGATGCGAAGAATTACGACAAATGGTGCAAGTAAATGAAGGTGTTGTTTGGCTACCAAGATGTTCTTGAAGTGGTCAAGAACGGGGTGAATCCCCTTGTCGAAGGTGCAACAGATGCACAAAAGGCTGCCTACAAGAAAGGAAAGAAGAAAGATTACAAAGCGCTGTTCTTGACCCATCAATGTGTTTATGGTGACAGTTTTGAGAATTAGCGATCGCGAGTCGACAAAGGAAGCGTGGAAAATCTTGGAAAATGCTTATGCAGGGGCTGATAAGGCAAATGTGGTGAGGTTAAAAACTCACAAACGGAAAATTTGAATTGATTTAAATGGAGAAGAAAGAGACAATCAACGATTACGTGACGAGAATTACACGATTGGTGAATCAAATTAAGTCTTGTCGAAAAACTGTTTTGGAGCAGAATATTGTGTCAAAGATCTTGCGTTCTTTGACGACAAGATTTAACAACATCTATTGGCGATTGAAGAGTCGAAGGATCTTCCGATGTTGAGCAAAGATGAACTTCAAAGTTGAGCAAAGATGAAGCTCATGAGCAAAGGATGGATGAGAGAAATAACGACAAGGAAAAGAAAAAAGATCGTTTTGCAAGCACGGTTAATGAGAAGAACAAGAAGTTGAAAGGAAAATGGCTCATGAAAGGTAAAGAGAATTTTCAGAATTTTAATGGAAAAGAGTCTCAAAATTCAAAGAATTTGACTTGTCAAATGGGTGAGAGCAGCTGTAGTAAAAATGATGGTCTAGACAACTTTAGAGGTAAAATCAAGAAGTATGACAAGAGTAAGGCATAATGCTACAATTGTCAAAAGTTCGGCCATTTTGCAAGAGAATGCAATGCGAAACAGAAGGAATCTCAAGGAGATGAAGCCAAGGTTGCTAGACAATAGGTGGATGATGAAAATACACTCTTGGTCATGATCACAAAAGGTAAATGCAGCAGCAGTAGGATGCAGGGAAACAACAACAGTAGTTTTGAGAATGCTGCAAAAACATTTACGGAAGAAAATATTATGGTGACTGTGAGAGAAGGAATCCAGTGCAGTGAAGAATGATATTTGGATTCTAGTTGTTCTACGCATATGATAGGGAGAAAGGATTAGTTTGTTAAAATCAATCAAGCCACGAAGAATAAAGTAAAATTCGCAGATGACACCATTTTAACGGCCGATAGGATCAGTGATGTTTCGATCATGAGAAGGGGTGGTGGATATTCTTGGATCAAAGATTTATTGTACATTCCTAGAATAAAATGTAACCTTCTAAGTATTGTCCAATTGCCTGAGAAGAGTTATAAGATTCACATGGATGACAAGACTTTGTGCGTTATGGATTCAAATAGGGTTTTGGTCCTTAAAGCTCCTATGGATGCCTATAGAATTTTTAATATTGAGTTTAAGGTGATGGATTATAGGTGTCTTGCTACAGCGGCAAGTAGAAAAGAGTGGTTGTGGAGCTATCATCTTGGGCATCTTAATTTTTGAGATCTGAATGCATTGCAAAGGAACATAATAGTAATCGAGTTGCTATGCATCAACATACCAGCTGAGATTTGTGAAGAGTGCGTGCAAGTGAAGCGACACAAGAGTAAATTCAACAAGGATGCAAATTGTAGAACCAAGCATCACCTTGAGGTGGTGTATTCTGATGTGTGTTGGTTGATGTGAGTTGATTCGTGTAGAGGAAATAAATAATTGGTCAATTTTATCAATGATTATAGTAGAAAGCTATGGGCATACCTAATAAAGAGAAAGGATGAGGTATTTGAAGTTTTTAAGAAGTTTAAATTCATGGTTGAGTGGCAAAGTTGTCAAAAGCTCAAAGTTCTCAAAACGCATAGTGGAGGCAAGTATGTCTCAAATGACTTTGGAAAGTTTTGTGATGAAAAGGGGATAACGCATGAGGTAGTATCACCCTATACACTGCAACAAAATAGTTTTACAGAGAGGAAGAATAAATTAATTATGAATATGGTGAGAAGCATGTTAAAGGGAAAGAACTTTCCGAAAGAGTTATGGGTGGAAGCGGTACCCACAATTGCCTATTTGTTAAATAGGTGTCCTACAAAGAAGCTTGAGAAGATAACGCCAGAAGAAGCACGATCTTGATTAAAACTGAATCTAAACCATCTGAGAGTTTTAGGTTATGTGGCATATCGGTATATCCTAAGCCAATGTAGAAAGAAGTTGGATGGCAAAGGGAGATTATGATACTTGTATGGTATCACCCTACTGTGTTTGATGTTGAAAACAGGAGAACTGTGATCAGCCAGGACATTGTAATCGATGAATTGAAGCATATGGAATAGCGTGTAACCGATTACACTCACTTTTTAACCCGTTGCATGCAGCCGTTAAGCAGTTACAACGGCTAGAAGCACGAATTTCTAGATTCTGAAGAAACAAAAAGTGAAGGAACGCAGTGTGTCGAAGCCAAAACTAATGAAAATGTGAGATGACAAACTAGGCAAAGAGGTTTGCCTCAAAGACTCCAAGATTGTGAGATATTCTACAACAACAAAAACAGTGAGGATGGTGATTTTGTCCATATTTGACTTATGGCCGAATCTGAGCCTGTTAAGACGGAAGAGGAATTGAGTGCTCCAAAGTGGATTATGAAATGAAGAAGGAGATGAAATTGATTGAGAAAAATAGTACTTGGAAGTTAGTTAATCTACCAAAAGGAAATAAGTAGATTAGTGTAAGATTGGTCTATAAAGTGAAGGCAAACCCCAAAGGTGAAATATCAAGCACAAAGCTTGGTTAGTTGCAAAGGGATTCTTGCCAAGAGAAGTTATAGAATTTGATGAGGTATTTTCACTGATTTTTAAGATCGAAACCATAAGTCTAGTTGTTGGTATTGCAAATAACAACAATTAGTTTATCTATCAAATGGATGTGAAGTCTGCATTTTTGAACGGTCTGCTTGAAAAATAAGTGTATGTAGAAAAGCTCCTAGTTTTGTTATGAAAAACCAAGAAGGAAGATTCTACAAGTTGAGAAAAGCTCTATATGGTTTGAAGCAAGCTCCGAGAGCTTGGAATAAAAGGAGGTGGTTTCCTTGTTGAGGTTCACTTAAAGAAATGTGTGTCTGATCATGAAGTTTATGTGAAGACAGATACGAGTGAATGTGTGATCATTCTTTGACTATACGTAGAAGATTTGTTGATCACGGGAAGCAACGATATGAGTATTTCTAAGTTCAAGAGTGAGCTTATGAAAGATTTCGAGATGCAAGACCTTGATATCATGACATACTTCCTTGGCATAGATTTCCACAAGTCCAAAAAGGGATTACTTATGCATCAAAGGAGATATGTCATTGAGATATTGAAGAAGTATGATATGGAGCATTGTAATGTTGCCATTATACCAGTTGAACCAAGGTTGCAGTTGTACAGGAATGAAGAGGAGAAGAACATAGATTCAACTCAATATAGAAGGTTGATTGGATAATTACATTACTTGTATAATATGCGACCCGATTTAGCATTTAGTGTCGGTATTGCGAGTAGATTCAAAGAGAGACTGAAGGTGTCTCACTTGGCAGAAATCGAGAGAATCCTGAGATAGGTCAAAGGATCTATTGGCAGCGAAATTCTCTTTCCCGCAATAGATACGAGTAGAAAATGCATCTTTATATTCGGTGGAACACCAATCTCATGGTGTTATAAAAAGGAACTGATAGTTTCACTCTTGTCTTGTGAGGCCGAGTATATTGTCGCTCTGTTATGTACGTGTTAAGCCGTGTGACTAATGAATCTATTGAAAAAGTTGGGAAGCAATGAGTGTGAGGTTATCACGCTCTTGGTTGATAATGTTTCAACCATTAATCTTGATAAGAAATGAATTTCACATGGGAGGAGCAAACACATTGAGATAAGGTTCCACTATTTGAGGGAGCTTGTTAGTGAAGGCAAGTTAAGATTGGAGTATTGTAGAAGTGAAGACCAAGTTGCTGATTTGTTGACTAAGGGAGTCACAAATGATGTGTTCAAGAGGTTGAATATGATCATGGGCATGAAGGACTTGGAGCACTTGAGTTAAGGTGGTGTGTTGTGTAAAAATCAATAATTCAAGTGTTGTAACCGGTTAACACAGAGTGCAATTAGTTACAGCTGGAAGAAAAGCACTTCTTCAAGTAGGAAAATTAGTTTTGGAGTTGTGTTAACCGGTTAACGAAACACGTTAACCGGTTACACCTGATATTGACTTTTTATTGTTTTGTCTGTTGTAATCGGTTAACAGTTTGTGTTAATCGGTTATATTCCTGAGTTTTGGCTTTTTCTTGTATTTCA